AAAGAGGGTCCCCTGCCCCTAAAACACTGTGCACTCCTGTCTCATCTTCTGTGTACCTCCCCCCCAGTCCCCAAAGAGCAGTTATCTCCACTCATCAAAGTTGTGAGAGTAAACGTCATTTTTTCACACTCCAGATTTGTACCTGTCAGCAACTGCTCCAGGGAAGCACATTCGGTGATTCTCATCCACTAGAAAATTGCTCTTCAAAATAAACCTCTCCTGGTCCTTGTGAGCACGGATCACACTGCTCCCTTGGTAAGTTTCTGAAATGTGGGAGTAGATGGGTGACCTGCTGGCAGCCTCTATGCGTCTCAGCTGGCAGGAGGTGATGACGTAGAAGTGCTGGTACAAAGGGAAATGGAAAGGGAAGTGATTAGAGTTGATACCTCTGTGGAGATGCTCCACAGAAGTCTGGGAAGCCCCCAAGGTGTGCAATACTGTGTGCTATCCTAGTGTTACAAAACCTAATGTGCAGGTAGGAGATGCCCTTAAAAGTGAGGTAGCATTTTTGCCTGTGCCATGTCCTGTCTTTATTAAGAATAACCTTGTAGTTAGTTAATGCAAAGAAGCCAAGGTAATCTGAACTCAGAAGGCTCTCATCTCACTCCTACTTTCTCCTGTAGACCAGCCCTTTGCCTGATGGAGAACACTCATACTTGCTCTTCCCTCATGTTCAGTCTTAGCTGGCAAAACACTGGACATTCCATAGAGCTGAATTATTTACATGGATATATTAAAAAGCAGTGTAGGAATTCTGAAGGAAAGGGAAAATGGTTTTGGTCTTAATATGATTGCATTTACATTAATGGAGACAAGAAATATGCTCTAGGTGGGATTTGATCTGGACGTCAGAAAAGCATGATGTGACATTACTGTTGTTCGGAGGCCATTTGAGATGATAAAGTGAATTTCTACATGTTTCCACTCCTAAGAAGTGGATCCTTTCTGCAGGGACACAGCTGTGCTCCTTCAGCCTCTCCTGTCTATCTGTGTAAGCTCCTACCTGAAATGCAGCATAAAGAACAGTCAAAGGCACTATGGCGATTGCTGCCTTTGGTGTAGCCACTATAATCACAATGTAGATTTCCAGCAAGTTGAAGAAGAATCCCAGCAAAGACTTCAGCTTGTCAGGGATGACAGAATCAATAGCATCCATTTCTCTGGAGAAGTGGTTCAGCAAGTTTCCAATGGGGGTTTGCTCAAAGAAGACCATTGGGGATCTAGTAACGTTCTTCAGCAACTGCAGAAACAGGTTGTGGGAGGCTAACACACCACCTAGAAGGACTGCTGCTATGGAGGCAAATCTGCACAGGGCTGTAAAATAAAAAATAACTATTATTAGGGCTGAACAAACTCACCTTGGAGTTCCTTTTTGTGAGATCATGACTGTTAGTGCTCTGAATCCTAGCAAAAGGAGCTGAATTGCTCTTTGGTAGCAATTAAGCCAGGTCTCAGAGCTGCAGGGTAAACTACCCCTTTCTGTAGGGTAGTTATAGAGGGGTGGAGGACTTTCTGAGCAAGCTTGATGTGGGCTTCAGATTCAGAAACTTAAACATGCAGGACAAATTATTTTTTCTTCACAAAATGAGCTTGACTGGAATTACTTTGAATACTCAAAGCCTTAGGTTTCCTCCCTATGGGTTCACTTTTAGCACAAAAGGGTACCCAAACCTTCCCACTCCTCCCAACTTGTTCAAGTTTCTCAAAATTTTTTGTCACTTAGGCTGAGATTTTTCCAGATTTTATTTTTCCTAAAACAAATTATTAGGTTTTTTTAGACAGTGACCAAAATATTTGTGGCCATTTTAAAAATTCCTTTTTCACTGTCTTTATACTCAAAAGACCTAAGCTAAGATATAATTCGGCATGAAGAAGAGCCACCACTTGGATATAACTAATTTATATTGGAGGAATGGAAAGGGATAAGGGGAAGCAAGATGTGCAGAAGATGCTGGATACAAGAGGGCAGGATAGAAAAATAAGGATGTTGTGGTTCTTTCATTGCTGAATGTTTTGGGGCTCGTGTCATTTAGTTTCACCAGGAGTCAGAGGAAGACACTATTCATTATGGTCTGGTGAAAGGCACAAAAGAACACTTCAAGCATACTGTGAGGTAGAATTTCAGGCAGTAACACTGGAAATATTGTTCAGATCCCTTAGAAATCTTCTCTGCATCACAGCATGTAACTTTAGTTCCCATGCCAACCCTCTAGTGCTGGTGCCAAGAGCTCATGGGTATGCACTTGTTTATATTCTGAGAAAACATCCTGGATATGGGAAAGAAAGATGGAAATACAGAGGAGAATTAGGTGAGCAAGTTAAACGAACCTTGAATTATTCCTAGTGCACCAAAAACCCCAGCTCTTAGCTCTGTGTACTCTTGTGTCCCATTGTGAACAGGATCGTCTGTCCACATGCTGAGCCAGTAGCCACGAGAAAATGACACAGCTTGCTGGCATGTGAACATCAGGATGATGTACGCGCACAGTGGTAAGCCCATTGCCCTCAGGTAGGCTGCATAAATCCAGGTATTGATCTAGAGTGAAACAGTTGGGGAAAAATTGGAGAGGCTGGGAGGATCAAACTGGTTAGCAAGGAAAGGCAGTTCTGAAACAAGAAATGACAACTTATGGCATATCTACTCAATTATATGTCACAGCCAGAGCAACCATGTTAATTCTTTTTTTTGTTGTCCTCATGGATAAATAATGAAGTAATACTTCTATAAATCCATTGTATTAATGAGTGATTACTATCAACTAATGAATGGTACTGCAATAGGCTTGTGTTACTGCTGGATAGCATGAAAGGCTTTCCTTATGCCAGGCAGTGGTTTTCATTTCTTCTTGGTATGAGGAAGAACTATTGTGTATCCCACTGACTGCTTGTGTGAGTAACTGCTGATGGGCAGAGGTGAGGAGATCCTGCTCCAGCTGATACTGTGCTTATTCAGGAAAAGAGCTGCCTCCTTTGGGGTATCTGACTTCTTATTCCTATCTCTTCTCAGTACCAGTGTGTAGCTTGAACTGCTTGTTACCTCCCAATGTTTTGTTCCTGCTACAGTGTGCCATGAATACACACCTCATCTACGCCGGACCCCTCTGAACTGGAAGCCCACACCTGCTTCTTTCCTTTCACAGCACTGTCCGTGCCTCAGCTTTTTGAGGTGTTTCCCATGGGCAAGATGAGAACAGTGATATGCCTTTTTGCCCCTTCCCACCAACCTCAAGAGTTTGTAGACAAACTCAAGATTACAAGTCCCTTGTAATCTTATCTTTTTCTGTCCCTTGCCACCACCTCGTCCTGATTGCCTTGGTGTGCTTTTCCCATTCAGGTAACTCTTGAATCAGGATCTCTCTCCTCAAGTAGTCATAATTTTTCCTATCCCTCCTCTCATCTCCATAATGTTCTCTCTGCAATGTACATGCATTATTCCCATTTTGGAACCTGTGCTTAGATCAGGGCATTAAGGGAGACACAGTTTGCATAGAAGGTGCTATGTAAAATATTCCTGAAATGCCTTTGTCTCGATCATATGGCAAACTCATACAGCTCAGCTGCCTAACCTGGAGGGGCACAGGTTTCACTCGGACAGTGAGCTGACCCCCCTGCCCACCAGCAGGTCACTAACAAACCCCAGTATGTGCCTACCTTCACAGAAAGATATAGTGCTTACCCTGCCATACTGAGTGTGCTCTTCCTTGGTTAATCTTCCTTTGCTGGCTGCAGCAGTGGTACAGTCTTGACTTAGAGGAATGGTCTCCTTTCCCGTAGCTGAAGATTTGACTGAACTGCCTCTTCATAAAGAAAAAAATCCTTTCAACTTTTAGCCAAGGCAGTGAGTTTTTAAAGCTGGATCTCCATACCAATCTACCTCCATATTCATGCCTATTTTGAGGGCTGCAGTTTTTAAGGTCCTCCAGAGTGACCCAACCATTGGCCATATTTATTACAGGGACTGCACTTTGTCAAGCTATTAACAAACAGAGGCCTTATGCATTTATTAGCTGTGGTTTGCTTGAAATGAAGTCAGACCTTACAGCTGCACTGGGCAGTGAATATTAAGCAAGTGTATCAGAATGTATGTGAGCTCTGGAACAAATTCTGACCCCTTGTGAAATACGGAGGAAATGTTAGTCAACCTCCACATTCAAAAGCAGCTTTCTTCCTATTCTTGAATTTTGTTTTTTTGCTCTTAACTACTGATTTACAGATCACTGGCAAACCTGTGTCATACTCAGAGCCTCCATGTAGGCTTGTATGGGCTTTGGTGCGAGCTCTTCAGTGTCTGAGACAGCTTTTAGCTTACCTGAAGGGCTTCTTCTGTGATGGACTGTTTCTACAGGTAGTGATGCCTTTGGTGCCTCCTGTAGATGTGACAGAAATGCATTTTTTTAATCTAAATGCTTTAGAATCCTGTTTTGTCCTGTATGGCCTTTGAGAGACTAGTAATATGGAGGAAAGATAAATTACAAAGAATTTCTAAGGGTAGAAATATCAAGGTAGGGCTTGAAGAATAGCACATGTAGTGGATAATTCTGTTTACTGAATTATTGTTGGTTTACCCTAAGATAGAACTGTTCAATCAAGAACCAATTTTGAGATGACGAGTCAGCTAATTTGACAGGCATATTTTTCCCCACACAGTGACAGTTTACTGTGATTGGATCTCAGCTTTAAAGGTCCATAATAAAACAAATATAAGACTGGTTTTTTCAGTTCTATTCTCCTTTTTCCTCTTCCCAACTATGAACAGCAGCACTCCCCCTTCCAGTTCTTTAATATTAATAATTTTAAGAAAACAACAGACTGATGGATTTAGGAACAATGGTTCCAACTCATTTGTGTTACCTGGAAAACCAGAGTCTGCCTTCTCTTCTGCAGCAATGTGTGAATGGAGAAATTCTGCAAAGGCCCCATTTCTCTGTAGAAGTTCTTGGTAGGAACCAATTTCTGAGATTGTTCCATCCACCAGAAAAACAATGTTGTCCACTTGAGGCAAAATGTTAATTGTGTGAGTCACCAGCACACGAGTCTGCTTGAACAAAGAGGGAACAGTCACAATTGTTCTGTTGTTTCCCTGCTCACTCAAGCTGTTGCAGTCAGCTTTCTTCTGAGGAAAGACGTACCCAGTGTGAGTTGTGATTTTTACTAACTTGGAGATATTTTTGTGTTTTATTGCTGTAACTTCTGATTCTCTCTTTGGTGAAGTTTATCTTTGCAGCACAGCTTTGTGCCCATTTTGAAAGTGCAGAACTCGGGAGTGGAGGGGTGAGTCCACTCCTGTCATGTCACACGCAACTTGAAAGAATGAGGATGGGAACTGAAGCTTGAAATCTCAGGCTAGAGCCCTGTGTGGAGAAGGACCTTTTGCTGGGCCCACTGATGAGTTCCATGTTTCTAATTGTCCTCAGGCTGAAGCTGTTCAGTAGAATTATGTTAACTGAAGAGTTTGTCACATTTATTGTCCCTGATACCAGTATTTCACAATGAAGTTCATGCCTGAAAACTTCATCAACCTGAATGTAGTTACAGTGCAGCTCCTTTTCATCTAAATTGCTGGGCATATTTGCACAGATAGGTACATGTTGGAAAGGACCTAAGAAACGTACTTTTTCCCTTGATAACAGATTGTCATCTGTTTCTAATATATAATCAAGCCCTTTGAGTACTGCTTAAGCTTGATACTTGCTTTCTTTGTATTTCTATGTTTTAATAAAATAATTACATTCTGATACTTGCAAGCAATCTACACATGAAGATAAAGATATCTGTAATCAAATATGTCTGTTTTAATTGGACTTTCTAATGAAAGAAATTACCTCTTTTCCTTCCACAATATGAAACTGAATCAAGTATTTGTAAGCGCTTTATACCACAAAACAAACAGAGCTGGCCTAGCACCCTATCTCATGTAACCACGTTTCTTTTCCAGACTGCCTGATAGCAGAGAAATACCAAGGAACAACAAAATACAACCAGTACAAAAAAAGAAACAAAATAGAAATGTTTAAGATGGATTTTATGAATGAAGTTTAAGTGATGAACACTTGGGTGGTGAGGCCTCTAAAGGAGTCACTGAACTATTCCAAAGTGATGGAATTAGACATGCTAAGAAGGAATCAGACAGTTCTACCTAACTATAATATAAGTAAATCTCAAAAAGGGAGAAGGGTAATGTCGATGGAAGACCAAAGAACTATGAACTTGCTCTGGAAGTAAGACTGGAAGTAGGCATGTGGTTTGCATGAGCGTAAGGACAGTCTTTAGGAGAATCTAACCTTTCAGTCTTTCTCAACCTAGATGCAATTCACTGCAGGACTTCATGTGCTGCATGGACTGCAGAGGTTGCCCAGCTACCCCTGTTGTTAAACAGTAGCACCTGCTGCCACTAGTATAAAAGAATTTGGGAGCTTTTGATGAAGAGAATAACCCATCTTACTGGAAAAACTTCAGAGGCCCTAACAATTAGATACATTTTGCAGTCTTTTACATTTCAGGACTTAGAATGCACCTTGTCCTTCAGCAAGCCATTGGGTCCAAGGACATGTTCAAATATTTGCTGTCCAACATGGGCATCGATGGCTGAGAGGGGGTCATCTAGAAGGTAAATTGAAGCCTTCTGGTACACAGCACGAGCAAGGTTCACTCTTTGCTTCTGCCCTCCAGATATGTTTATTCCCTGTAAAAAATAAATTCACGCTGTTTGTTCCAATGCTAGTGCATATTTCCCAACTGTTGGCCCCATTTTTACATGGAGGTTTTAGGACTTTGTTATTTTTTAAAATTATTTTAGGACTTAATATTTTTTTTAAATTGGTGCTTCTGTCTCCTTCTGTGGTCTCCCTGCCTCCCTCCAAGTAGGGCTCTTGAGATGCAGAGGCAGGTTGCCAGAGTTGTCACTACTCATTGACAAGTTGGCCAAAATATAAACCTAAGCCAGTACCTTCTCTCCTATTTCACTCTTCTGCCCTGCAGGGAAGCTCTCCAAATCAGGTTGCAGTGCACAAGCATCTATCACTCCATTGAACCATATCTCATCCATCTCTCTCCCAAAGAGAATATTATCTTCCACTGAAGCATTTTGTATCCAAGCTTGCTGGGGGACATAAGCTGTAGTGCCCTATAAAAAGGGAGGTAGAAGAATGTTAATAATCTCTTCCATAAGCTCAGCTTGACACTGTGGAAACTCATCTTTGAAGAAGAACTCTCCTAGTTAGCTTTACAGAAGTCTGTAATGATCACCATTGATGGGTCTCAACATTACAAAGTAAGAGTCTGCACTTCCATTATCTTGTAGAGAAGAAAACAAGTGCAAGTACATGACAGGATTTCCCACAATGCCACTTCAGCTCATTGTCAGAGTGGGAACTGGAACTGGATCTTTGAAGTCCTGCTTCAGTTCCCATTCCCAAGAGCCAGACTCACCTGAGAAGTCTTAAGCACCTTCAGATAATTAAATGCAGTTTGCTACATGCAGCCTTTGTTAGAATTCAGCAGTAAATGGGTTTTCATCAAGGACCTGATGTCTTGGTTAATATCTTACTGTTCCTGAAGACAGCCTAAGTAGAAGCAAACACTCAGGGAAATTCACCTTCATGGTCACACAGCCGTCTATCTTCTCCAGCTCACCAAGTAATGCTGACAGCAAGGAGGACTTCCCAGCACCCACCTGGCCAACTACAGCAAGCAAGGAGCCTTGGGGCACAGTAAGATCTATCCTATGGAGAAAAGATAGGTCACTTACCACCTTTAAGATACACCTTCTGAAAAGAAAATGACCAAAGTTCTTCCTGTTGACTTGTATCAATACCACCAACTTAAGCCCCCTAATTTCATGCTTGAGGCCTCTGCACAGGATCAGTATTCCTGTCATGCCGACATTTTGCAGCAGAACAGGAGTCATCACTTAAAAAACACGTCCACCACATCCCTATCTGTGTTGTAAACACAGAGCCAAGACCCACGTTCCTATTTTGGAGATAGTTTAGCCCAAAGCACCTGGATAAAAAGCATTCCTAAACATAAAACTTTTCAACTCTGTTTCTTCTCTAAAACCACAATGTCTTTTGAAATAAGCAGGTAGTGAAGTCATACCTGCAGACTATAATTTCTACTTTTTTTTTTTACTTAAATTTCTGTAACTTCTCATTTGGACAAGAAAATTGTGTAAAGAAAGCAGTCTCCATGTATTAAGGTAATGTCAAGATACAGGCACCTTCCCATTTATGTGCATAAAGGCATAGAGGCAAGATCACGTTTTGTCTGGCTTCATAATTTCCAGAATTCAAGGTTAAATATGAAGCAAACTTGGAAGCCTCTAGATATTCCACACTGGTCTCTGGCCCTGAGAAATTAGTTCATTCAGTACCCACCCTGACCTACAGAATTGAGATGACTTAAGAGCAAGTCAGTACCTTCTGAGACAAGGAGAAGTTTCTTTGCTCCAGCAAAAAGTCCCATTTTTTATGGTGATACTTGCCTGTACTAAAATATGAGGAGAAATAAAATGCTTATAAATTCAAAGATAAGTACAGAAACATCCCTATTTATGTGACTTTCTGTTTTGGTGTGTATTTATATCACATAAAATGAACCTTAAGTATGAGAAGACTTTTAAGTGCCAAATGAGTTTTCATAATTAGAAATAAACAGGCCTGAGAGTAATAAAGTGACAGTAAGGAGCAAGCATTTGTCTCTTGAGTACAGCAGGCACCCTAAGAGTGGAACACTGGAAGCTACCCCTCTTGCATGACAACAATTCTAACACTAAAAGCTCACCACAGTCAGAAGTGTTTCTGCTTGAGCTCTTGGGAGTCAGTTCTTCCAGATTCAGAAAAGCAGCTAGGCGGTTTAAAGAAACTTTGGCCTGAAATGAAGAAGCACACAAAAGAGTAAGATTTAAAATAGAAAAGAAACTAAAACCCAGAG